GGGGGGGGTGAATAGCCACACTGCAATCCCTTCTCCTCCATTCTCCTCTCAGTATCTTGGGCACACATGCATACACACCCAGCATGAGTTCAAGCCACAAGGTGCGGGACTCAAACCAAGGTCGACTACATGGGAGTCCAGCCATGTAACCATTATGCCATCTGATGGTCCCAAATATATATATATATACATTTTTTTTTAGAATTACTTTATTATTATTTATTTTTGACCAGAGAGGGACAGAGTGTGTGTCTGTGTGTGTGTGTGTGTGTGTGTGAGAGAGAGAGAGAGAGAGAGAGAGGGAGAGAGAGAGTGCATGAAAGCACACAGTGGGGTCTGGGACTCGAATTGTGGTAGCTATGTTGGAGTTCAGCGCCCTTAACTACTATGCCACCTATCAGCCCCAAAGCAGAGAATCTTTAAGAGTATTCTAAAATATACAAAGACATACTCTCATTATGGGTGACCTAAGGAACACAAAGAACACGATTTCAGTTTAGATTTCTACTAAGGAATGGAAGTTGTTTACTTTTATGAAAAAGAAATCCAAAGGGAGCATTTCTCTTGATAAAATTCTTATGGAAATCTCAATGGACCTCCTAGGAGAGGCAAAATCACAAATAAAAATATATATTAATACATGTTTTCTTCCCATGTGTGTATTCTTTTCAAGAGGGAGAATTTTCTTTTTTTAAGGATTATTTTATTTATTTATTATTATTATTTTAATTTGACTGGAGAAACACAGAGAGAAAGTGATAAAGCAAGTCACCAGGTTCAGAACTCAAGCTGCAGCAGGCCATGTGGGAGTCCAGTGCCTTGGTCACTATACCACCTACCAGTCCCAAGAAGGAGATTTTCTTAATCTGATTTTTCTTTTCCTAAATAGCAATACTCTTTAAAGAATTATTTTATTTAGCTTTATTTATTTACTTAATTAGACCAGAGAGGGACAGAGTGAGTGAGAAAGAGAGAGGGAAAGTGAGAAAGCAAACGACCAGGTCTGGGACTTGAGCCGTGGTCAGTCATGTGGGAGTGTCCAGCTCCCTTAACCACCACACCACCTGCTGGCCCCAGTAGCAATACTCTTTAAATGAATTAAAATGCATTGTCAGTAAATGAAAGTTTCGAAGATTTTCATGAATTAGGTTGATAATAAATGATCCTTGACAATGTATATTAAGATTTCTAATAACTGACCACATTTAAAGAGTAAACAACAAATCTACAATAGGTACAAATTATATACATTTATTTTTTAATAATTTTAAATAACACTCTTGTATAAATTCTTTCATATATTCAAATCATACACAAATTTAGAAATGCATCATGAAGCCTAGTACAGCATATGTATGAGACATGTGTTTTAAATTTTTGTTAGAATTTTAGTGATATAAATACAAGTTTAATGTTTCAGAAATGTTCCCTAATTGCTCAGGATGAAATTTAACATATTACAGAGTGCTTGTGCCTAGCATTAAAACTTGATATTCAATCATTTAGCTTTTAGACCAACTTAGACTTGAAGCCCCGGGCTCACATGGTAGGGCTGCTGCCACAATTATTGCATATACACAAGTCACAAGTAAAAACATCACCATTGCTTTGAAAAAGCATCCTTCCACCGCTGACATTCTACTGATCCATAACCTTTAGTCCATTTGATATTATTTGACTTCTTTGGATGAATCAATGTGTTCTTCTGGCTTCCCACCTTGGCATGGTCACTGGCCCAGGCATGAAGAATAAAAGGCATTAACTTTCCATTACTCTCCAACACACCACACTCATCTGAGCTCTCAAACTCCTTGCTATCAAGAAGATCAAGTCAGATGAAAGGTTCTTTGTGGGTGAGCCCAGAAATGCTTTTCTTGCTCTGACAGGTTACATTGGGCTGCTTTTCGCATCTCTGAAATTTTTGTCCAGGCCTTTCCTTGCAATATGGAAATTCAGCTCCTACCCACATACTGCCAGATATAAGAATGAGCAGCTGTTCCCCACATGTGGTGTCAAGTTCACCAAATGTCCTACAAAAACACACGGGGCCAAGGTGAATGACCGAATAACCCAGTTCCAAGAGAAGTCGTCAAGAGGAAGTGCAGGTGCTTTAGTGCTCTGCTTCCCAAACAGTGCAAGGTCTCAAGACTCAGCTGACCAAAGTGCATGAGATCAGTGAGTATTGCTTTTCTGGTCTATTTTTCTGGCCGTCTTGGGCTATGGAGTAGCCATGTAGTTTGAGGTTTCTACAAAATCCTGTTCCCAATAAAACCCTCTCTCCTCCCATCCCATGATTGCTCAGTTCTCCCTTATATCCAGGTATCTCTGGGAAAAGTAAAACATTAGGTCCATAGGACCTTAATATAAATGAGTTTAGTTTTTGATTATTTTTTCTCTCTAACTGGAGAAATTCCGCCAATAAGAGAGCCCTGGGAAGTAGAAGGTAGAGGATGGGAAGGGAAGTAAGTAAAGACAAAAGAATACTTAAAATCGCTACTTCGGGCATCTATCAAAAATGTAGATGGGCTTACTAAAATGAAGTAATGAACATAAATGCACCACTAAATAGCAGTATCTGTCATTTCTCAATGAGATTTACCATCAGCCTTACCTTATTTAAAAATGAACAGGGCTGGCCCTATAGCTAGTGGCTAAAGGAAGCCAGATCCCACATGACTAATCAGATACAAGTCTCCACCCCCGCTTGAAAAACATACCAGGCCATGTGCATGTGAGTCCAAAATTTTGATAGGATGGAAAAATGGAGGAGAAGGGATGGTGGTATGACTATGCCCCATTGGAAGGTGCTTTGTCCCTATCCTTCTGTTTCTGTCTTTCTCTCTCTGGCATGGTCACATGCCCTCTGGCAATTAAAAAAAACAAAAGGAAAAATAAACAAATTTTCCAGGGGCCAGTGGCTTAACAGTAAGATATGAGGTTCTGCAAGACTGACTCACTGGAAAGGCTCCAGGTGTGTGTCTGGAGGCCTCCCTGAGTAGCCTGGGAGATGTGCCCATGATCTGGGGCTGGCTGAGGCTGGGGGTGGATCATACCATCAAGACCTTGATGGGGGTGCTGTCTATCTCTGTCTCTTTTGTTCATGGAAGGAATAAACAAGCTTTAAAAAAATCAAAAACTCATGTTTCTAATCCTTAGACAAAAATTCTCCCAATGTTAGACTTTCTAAAGGACCCAAGGGATCCTGCAGCTGGAGGCCACAGTTCATGGAGATCCTGCCCTCAGAAGGATAAATATCACACTGTGCATTCCACAGAAGTTTCCGAGTCTGATGTCAGGGGTAGATCACATCATGATTGATGTATATTTTAGAGTAAAATTAGTCCCATAAGCAAATAGCTGATGTAACTAGAGAATATTATTTTAAATAAATGTTAAGATCTTATTTTTTCTACTATGGCAAATTAAGAGCATAATCTAGGAGCTGTTAACAAGTATTTAAAGGTAAATGTTCCTCATGATTCAATTTTTGCAATGCCTTTTAAGGTCTGTTCCAGGAGATCTCGACATAGCCAAGTCTTGACTCTGGCTTTGACTTTTAGACTCCGACAAACCCTCCTTCTTTCTTTATTAGGTTAGCTTCTGTTTAACAGGTGTTTATTTCTCAGCATCCTCAATGCTGACTTTTTTAGTGGTGGGCAGTGGGGGTTATCAGGGAGAAAGGCAGATATGCCATATTCCACAATCCACACACCACACATATGCAGCAACTTCCGGGGAGAGCAAGTATTCCCTTTCTGCTCAGAGACACGAACGCACTTTAACGAAGCCCAAACTGGCAGTTTTGTTCTCTGATCACTAGCACTGGCTTCAGATAGTCATCTTTCTGTGTTCTTTCCTCACAGTCTTTCATCGCTGCATAGCCGAGTTGCACCTGGTACTTAGGAAAAATCAGAAACATCTACAAATGGGGCTTTTCCTGCTAGCCTTCACGTGTCCATGGGAAGGCCATTTCTGCATTAGTATATAGTCGAAAGAGCATGTACTTCCGGGTGAGGAGTCCTGATTCCACACCTAACGATGACACACATTCTATAGCCCTGAATAAGACATGTAACCCCTCTGTACTGCTGTCTCCTCCTCTGTAAAATGGGGCCAACACCTACTTCCTTAGGGGGCTAAGGTGAAGAATGAAGAACACACTTATGAAAAAGTGATTTGCCAACTACAAAGGGCTACAGAAATGTTATTTTACTATACGTGATACAATGTAAGCTCTACTCTTATGAGCAATGGGCAAATATGCAGAGCATCCTCAGGTTCCTGGGAGTAGACTATCTGCCTGGACATCCTCCAGAACATCATCTCCAAACCCTGAGAACAGTTTAAGGGTCTCCTATGGAGGGATGACCAAATCCAGGTTTTTCTCTGAGGAAATCCAAGAGGTCAACTTGGATTCCCTAGTCCTAATCTAATAAGAAGTCTGTCTTTTTTTCTAACCACTTCACAGTTTGCTGTTCCTCCTATTAAATATCTATATTTGACTTCTGGCTACCTTTCCTGGCTTTCTTAAACCACAATATGCCAATATCATGATAGATGAGAGCAATACTAACTGGCCTCTAGGACAAAACTGCACCCTAAGAGCAAGGACTAATTCTATACACCCAGCCGCGGAGCTACCTTCTAACCCAACAAGAAGGTGGGAACGATAGCAATGCAGAGAGATGGCCCCTACCTCAGGGGAAATGAGTGATAGTCTACGTTTGAGTGTAGGCGCTTTTTATTTTTGAGGGCTATAAATATTTCACAGGCATGAAAATTAGGGATTCCAAGTAATACAATAGCTTTTCATTTGGAACTAACATATTCCTATTGTTTTTGGAAGACTATCTTTTATATCCCAGAAAAACACTGTTTAACATGAAGATGTTTTCTATTCATCTATGTAAAATATATAGAGTGTCTAATTAGGTGAGTTCTTTGGGGAATGCCGCCTGTGTCCCAGCTTAACAACAACTGACTTCAGAATCTATTGCTTGAACCTACGGTGAGTCAAAGAGCCTACTTTTAGATTGAGAAAGGAAAGAAAGGTCAGAAACATTCAACCTCTTATACATTTCAACAATGTCCTAAGAGGGACTAAAAATGACTGATGCTCACCAGAGTCCCAGCTCTAGCAATATTGCCATCTATTTTACAGTATTTTAACCAATCCCCATATTTTCTTTTTACAATGCCATTAACTGCTGTACAAATAAATTCTAGATGATAAAATATGACATGATTTTTTTTTTACAAATAGATACAAATACAACATTGACCAGATATGCTACATTAACTATATACACCATAGTTCTCTAGAGACAGGAATACTCCGTATTTTTAGACACTCATCATGTACACTGAGACCCTGAGGAGGACCATCAGCTTCCTGCTCCCCACTGCTGCCTGTCACTCTTTACCATCAGAAGTTTGTCCTATGCTTTAATCTCCTTACTGAGCAAGAATTCTGGGAGAAAAAAATCAAGCCCTTCTTCTTGGGACTTTTCTGTCCCTATTCTAGAAACAATCAAGATTATTTATGGTGATACAGCTGAGACCCCAGCTTTTCCTCAATGATGTCTTTTAGTACAGTAAAATGAACTCAGTCCCTGATCCTCCTTTTAAAAAACATGTCTCAGGAATGGAGATGAAGTCTTCCAGCAGTCTCTTCCTCCTCCGCACCCATCTTCTTGTTACCGCTGGTTTGGTGAACAGTTCCCAGGAGTCTATCAAAAATCCGGTGGCTTTGGGCTGTACTCTGGGGGTCAGCCTTTCATACTCCCATGTGATTTGGTACAAAAATATACTTTGCTTCAAGTCCTTAATGACAGTGAACACTTCGGATCTTCATGGGAAAACTAAGAGCAATGGCTAGGCTAAGTGCATTATGAATCTGCACCTGAAAACTCCAGGTGCTCTGCTTGCCTTTGCTTTCTCAGCAAAGTCTCTCCAGGCTTGGTCTGGCCGGGGCTGACGGTGCCTTAGCAAGCACTGGGGTCTAACAGGCCAGCGACTCAGGCTTTGTAGTTGTGCATGGGCGTCGTCAGGGTCAGTTGCCCATTGGGAGCCACTTCATTGCCATCATCTTCCAACAGTCCCGACACATCTGCATTGGGAATGCTGTCATGGTAGCTGCTGAAGCTGATGTTGTCTTCTTTCAGCTCGATGGTCCAAAAGGGGGCATTGAGTTTCCGGTTTTGGTATTCACGGTACATATATACAGCCCCCACAAATCCCATTAGCAGCACCACCACAATGATGATGACTGTCAAAATGATGATGTTAAATTGGGTCCATGATACGTCAGCTAAAGCTGAAGTGCTGTTTTCAGAAGAGCTTACTGAAAAGATAGTCTGCAGGGTTGTAGGGGTAAATGTACTATTTATAACAGGGGTGGGCACTGATGTGGTCAAAGAGGCATTGGAAACCAAAATGGTAGAACCTTCAGGTGTTGGAACAATAACTTCTGAAAATAAAAACAGAGAATGAAATGTAAAAGACAAAATCATCTAGTTTTGAGAAACAATAAAAGAAATACATGTGGAAGTGGAAGTTGATATGAGATGTTGACATGATATTTTGTTTTAAGGTAATGCTAGTTAAAATTATTTATTTATTAAATTATTAATTTTTTTTGGAGAGGTTCATGTGTGCTTGCCAGAAAGACAGAGAGAGACAGAGAGACAGAAAGCAAGAACTCACCCCCCTAGGGGGGATGGCCATGTCGCAATCCCTTCTCCTCTAGGGATCTTGGGCATGCACGCACATGCGCCTGGTGTGAGTTTAAGCCACCGATTCCAGGACTCGAACCACGGTCGACTACATGGGAGTCCAGCGATGTTGCCCATTGGGAGCCACTTCATTGCCATCATCTTCCAACAGTCCCGACACATCTGCATTGGGAATGCTGTCATGGTAGCTGCTGAAGCTGATGTTGTCTTCTTTCAGCTCGATGGTCCAAAAGGGGGCATTGAGTTTCCGGTTTTGGTATTCACGGTACATATATACAGCCCCCACAAATCCCATTAGCAGCACCACCACAATGATGATGACTGTCAAAATGATGATGTTAAATTGGGTCCATGATACGTCAGCTAAAGCTGAAGTGCTGTTTTCAGAAGAGCTTACTGAAAAGATAGTCTGCAGGGTTGTAGGGGTAAATGTACTATTTATAACAGGGGTGGGCACTGATGTGGTCAAAGAGGCATTGGAAACCAAAATGGTAGAACCTTCAGGTGTTGGAACAATAACTTCTGAAAATAAAAACAGAGAATGAAATGTAAAAGACAAAATCATCTAGTTTTGAGAAACAATAAAAGAAATACATGTGGAAGTGGAAGTTGATATGAGATGTTGACATGATATTTTGTTTTAAGGTAATGCTAGTTAAAATTATTTATTTATTAAATTATTAATTTTTTTTGGAGAGGTTCATGTGTGCTTGCCAGAAAGACAGAGAGAGACAGAGAGACAGAAAGCAAGAACTCACCCCCCTAGGGGGGATGGCCATGTCGCAATCCCTTCTCCTCTAGGGATCTTGGGCATGCACGCACATGCGCCTGGTGTGAGTTTAAGCCACCGATTCCAGGACTCGAACCACGGTCGACTACATGGGAGTCCAGCGATGTAGCCATTACGCCAACTGCTGGTCCGTAAAAATCATTTTTTAAAAAATATAGTGATAAGAATCAGAGTCTGGAGAGCTAACTTATTATATCCATGGCTATTCTCCAATATGTATAATATCTACAGTAAAATCTTTGGTAAAGTTCCAATGTTGGAGTTTCTCATCCTTTTTTAGTCTTAGAGTCATACAATTCCTGCAAAGGCAGTAAATATGTCACTACTGCATTTTATATCACAGAGTTAAAAGTGACTGGGGTAGATGGCAATCATTTGAACTCATGCAAGTCCAACATATCTGGTGGCACTTTGTAAAGGAAAAAGTCTCCTCAAAAGAGACCTAGGGAAAACTGTATGTCTAGTTACTACTGAGAAACACAATTTTAATATCCAAAGTTGATGTCAGCCAAGAGGAAAAAAAAACAGCTTTTTTCCCAATTCCATGGTTAGTAACGCTTCCTTCATACAGGTTATGGTTATTTACAATGAACTCTACTCTGAGCTTCTTATGCAGCATAGCTCAGTAGGAGGAAGGAGCAAAGGCTTTGGGATCAAATAAAACTGTGTGGCTAGAGATAAGTCCATCTTTTTCCAGCCCAGGTTCCCTATCTATAAAATGGGACGAATAATATCTACTTCACAGAGTGCTTGGAAAGGGTTAAATGAGATAATGTACTTTAGAGCATCACATTTAATGTTCATGGTGCTTGGTATCTAGAGGTACTCAATCCAATGGTTACTACCCTGATTAAAGTTCATCACCACCATCAGTCGCATCATGTTATTCTAAAAGGAGCAAAGTTATATTATCTCCTGACTAGTAACAGAAACCATCGCAGTCCTGTCAGCTAACTACAGAGCAGGCACGTCTTCCAAATGGGAAGAGAACTGAGGGACAGGCTCTCCAGCTGGTGGTAGGATTCAATCTGAGTCTTTTAGCCTTGATCACGACAACATAATGATATCAAGGAAAATGGCAGAAAGGTGACCCTTGCCACAGGCCAGCTGTTCACAACCCGAGTACTGAGCATCTGCCGGGAGATCAGAGTGGTTTGCAGAACATGGTCTAATCGCTCTGTGACAGGAAGGCCTGAATATCCCTAACTCATTCTGAATTTAGATAGCCATTCACTTTCTCTCTTAATCCTTACTGAACTTCCCTGTAAGAAATATGTTGTCATAGGAATAACTTTTTGTTTTAAAAATTTAAAAATATATATTAGTACTGTTTCCTCCCTCATAAATGGAGGAACTTAGACTCAAAGTTGGGATGGATGCTAAAATGAACTTGGTCCTCAGCCGGAACTTCTAACCAAATCATAGGTCCCTACTTGAAAAGACCTTTGATGATCACTGGAAATAATGAGAATAAAGGAAGCAAAGGATAAAAGAAATGATAAGACTTTTAAATCATTAACATGAAAATAAAAATAGATGAAGAGAAAATGTGAGGACACTGTCTCACAGTCGCATTGACTTTGTCTTGGTCCTCAGACTTCTGGAGTTGACTTCAGTGTGC